AATCTTTTTATGGATTTTAGATCATTTGTGGTATCATAATATTTTTGAATAAATGAATGTTCTTTTTTGGTTTCATAAAGTGACAGTTGAATATAAATAAAGAATCATTATGTATTTAATATTATTATAAAAATAAAATTCATATGATGCATAAGAATTGAATATTCTTATGCCTATTGATACTTATTTGTTTACATTTGAATTTTCATTTATTTTAGATTGATTAAGATTTAATTTAAAAAAAATGAAAAAATTTAAACATTTGTCAATTTCGTATTGGAACATTAATGAAATATCCTCCATTAATATCATCAGATTCAAAGTAAGTTTTTTGTTATTAATTATTTAATTTAAATAAGATTTTTAAAGGATATGTATTTACAACTGGTGATGGATGTGTTTATGTTTGGATTGTTAAAACTGGAGAATGTTTAAGATTAATAAATCATAATACAAATTCAATAGATCAACAAACAATTGTTTCAATTGCAATTAATCCTAATAATAGACTTCAAATATTTTTATTCATTAGTTTGAAGAAAAGTTCATTTTTTTTATTCGTAAATTTAGTTATGTGTCGGAGAACAAAATGGAATTATTAATGTTTGAGAATATGAAGATGAAATTCTTATTCATGTAAGTTCGACTTTACAAGCGCTATTATGTAAATTATGAATTGATTTTTCTAAGATCATGGTTAACATTTATTGAGAATCTTAATAGAAAAGGGCGTAACTATAGTTGAATCTGTTTTTGACCATATAAAAAAATGCAACCTGATCTCTAAGAGTTGAAATCTTCTCTATTTAGACAATAAAAGTTGAAATGGAACTTATTCAAATGTATTCAATATCAAACAACAAAAATGGTAAAGATTTATTTAATAGAAAATCAAATTAAAATTTCTTATTATTATTTCAGTGTATTCACTTAATCGAATTGAATCAATTCGTCATAATTGTTCTCCAATAATATTATTTGAAAAACTTCCATATTTATCAACAAATATTTCATTTGATAATAAAGTATTTAAGTATAATTATTTTCATATAAATAAAATAATTGATTTATATTAAGGGTGAATTCGGTATATTTATAAATGCTGATGGAACAATTATTTATATATTAAATATAAAAACAAATCAATTAAAAACTCATGCAATAACAAAACAAAATTTATCTTATCATGATAAAATAACATGATCACAAATTCATCCAAATGAAGAACGTCTTGCTTTAGGAACACAATCTGGTCGAATTGCTTTTTGGTATTTTTATTTATTTATTTTTTATATTAAATAAAAGACTATTTTTATTTAAAGGTATACTTTTCTAAATTCAACAAATAAAGAACTAACAGTATCATATTTACATTGGCATTCATTACGTGTTTAATGTTTATCATTTTCAACTGATGGTTCATATTTATTATCCGGTGGACATGAATGTGTTCTTGTTAAATGGTTATTTAGAAAAAGTGAACCAACATTTCGACCAAGACTTGGTGCACCAATAATTCATGTTACTTCATCAAATGGTCAAACATTTTATGCATGTACTCATTCAGATAATAGTACGAACTGTTTTTTTTTCGATTTATTGATTTTATTTTATAAATTATTATATTATTTAGCTCTTCATTTAATTGAAAGTAATTTATCAATTCAACGAACAATTGGAGGAATTAATCATATGTTTCTTCCACAACAAGCTTCATTACCAGCCGGTAAAAAAGAAATATGAGTCTTCTATTCATGAATTTAATAATTATTAATTATTCTAATACGTATTCATGTATTTAATTGTCAACAAGCTCTTGTTATGAATAGTGGAAAACCAGATTATCTTCAATTTACGTCAATTGATAATGGAAAATTACTTTACAAAGTAAAAGAAAACAGAAAAATATTTAATATAAATAATGTTTGTTTTTTAGTTGGATATTGTTGGAGAAAATTATGTATCACCAAATGAAATAGCTGAACAATGTGTTTTTACAGATATTAAACGTTTAGCTATTGATCCAACAGGTTTATTTTTAATATTTATTAAAAAATAAATTAAAATACGTGTTTTATAATATAGATACATGGTTAGTTACATTTGAAGAACGTTCATCAAATACAAATTCTGATGATCATCAAAATGAAAGAAAACTTAGATTTTGGAAATTTAATCAAACGAATAATCAGTAAGAAAAATTTTATTTCTTCTTTTTTCTTTTTAATTAATTAATTTTTATATTAAGATTTGAATTAAGGGTGTGGGTGGGTGTGGGTGTGGGTGAGGTGTGGGTGGCTGGGTGTGGGTGTCGATGTGGGTGTAGTTGTGGGGTGGGGGTGGGTGTACCTGTTTTCTTCGTTCACACTCACCAACCCACATCCACGCCCACACTCACACCCCACACCCACCCACACCCCACACCCACACCCACACCCACACCCACTCACATCCACCCACATCCCACACCCACCCACACCCACATCCACCCACACCCACACCCCACAGCCACTCACACCCACACCCAATAATTATTTCAAACTACTACACCACTTCTTATAAACATCAAAACCGTCTTCTAACTGCTATGAGGTTCTATTCAGTACTAAGCCAACTGGGTGGGCACTATGACGTTTTTCTCAGCAATATGCATTCTGCTGAGCATTACCCATTACTCCTTTCAGCAGAAAAGAATTTGATCAGCAACTACTCAAGAGAATTCTTTGAACATTTTTTATCATACATGGATTAGAATAGATCTATTGGAAAGTGCTGGAAGACAGTATATAATCATTCCTATTTCGGCAGTATAAAGAACAAACACCTGACTTCTATCTTTTTTGAAAGTCATTTTTCTCTGACGTCAATAACTGGAGACGACATGATAAAATCTATTTTAAAGATCGCATTACTGTAAAACTCATTATTGAAAATGTATGATATAGCATTGCAAGCGGCAAGTTTTATTGATTTAACTCGTGTGCTATACTGATAATATATAAAGCAGCAAAAGGGTATTTAAAGAGACAACTCACCTCGTTGGAAATATTCATTTGTTTGATAATTGAACAGAGTCCAAAATTACACGACGATGTCTACTTTTTGGTTCATGATGATTTTCTTGGTCATTAGCAGCACCTCAGGTAAAGAGAAATTTCTTTTAATACATGATTTTGAAACGTAGCATTATTACTGATTTCACATAAGAGCTCAATTTATGAAAATTAGGAATATTCTCATGTGTTCGAATACGATATTACATATGGGTGTGAGTGAGCGCATATGTGAGCTTTCATATGATGAGTTTGTGACGTTAAGATAAGACGTGTACACTGTAACAACAATCTACAGAGTAATCAAACGCTGCATGTTGAAAAATTTTCACGAATTGTTCACGAGTATCTGAACTATTAAGATATAGGTGAATGAAAAGAGAGGCTGCACATACACTAAAAAAGAGGCATACCACGGAACTTTACTATACCTTATAAGATATTGCACAGATAGGTAAAACCTTAATAAGGTTGCGGGATGTAATAGGTTTTGGGTAAAACAATTACACGTTTTCCTCACCAAAATGATTTCATAGATTATCTTCTAGAAGTATTGAAGTCTAAAGATTATGAACTAGTAGACTACTTTTCCTATCTTAACTGTAACACGAATAGATATTCAATAATGTTAAATTCAACTCATCCGACTTAATTTTTCTACTAATCTATTTCAATTCACTATACAATCGATTTTAGTTTAATGTAATTAATTAATGTAAATATTAAGTAGCTTTATCTAAAGATTAATGTTCACAAACAATAGATGGTAGGCATTACTTGATGCACTAGCTGTCACATTTAAGAACTTCCTTCAAAAAAAGAAATTTTTTCGAACATTCAACCTTGATGGAATTTTTCGTGAGGATGTAGTTCGAATTAAAACATATCACAGTAAAATTTTCAGATGCTGCACTGATGCATGCTCTTACAATCAAAGAAAGTTGAGCATAAAGAATGAACTCACAAAAAGACTATTGAAAGACCAAATGAGTTGTTTTTAATTCTTGTTTGACACTTATCTTTTGAAAAACTGTGCGATGTGAAGCTAAAAGTTTTAGCGTATTCTCTTCTTTATGTAGCTTACTTTAAGCAACGAAGTTTAAACACAAATTGGCAAGAAGCTTTGAAAATTCACTCTGTTAAACTTCACAGCATCAAATTATATGCTGCCAAGCAACCTTTTTACAAAAAAAATTAATTCGAATAGTATTATCAGCACGAACAACATTTGCTCAGTTAAGTTTTAGTAAATTATAGATCAAAAGAGAAGAGCGTAAGTTTAGTATTAACGATTAATAATAGACTCAGTACCCAATTTTTATTAGTATTAATTATGTTGTAAATCATGATACTTAAACTAGAGAAATGTTCAGCAGCTGAATAAACAATGAAAAACAATCCCACATGTCGACTGCCAAGTTTGCCTGTGTCATTAGAGTGCCACGCATTTAAGCCGCAGTAGCGGAACGGGCTCTCCTAGTATCGACAAACTATTTAAGAAAGAAGTAGAAGACATACTTTTCGTATAAAATAGTGAAACCCAGTGAAGTCTCCTAAAACCTTCCAAAACCTGACGAGTTTTCTGGAAACCCCATAAAGACATTCTCACAGAAGTGTCTAAATGTCAGATCTGGATTCTACTCTAAAAATAACATATAAATAGTGATTTTCGTTGATTTTGGCCAGTGCTAATAAGAGAGAATTCCTTGAGAACCCTCCGGTTTTCCAGAAGTCTTTTCGCCCAAATGTTGTGTATCGGCATGAGTTTTTTTACTGAAATACATAGAACTCGCTTCGCTCTTTCATTTGAGACTAGAATGAAGGTTCTACGACACGTCCTCTAGCTACACGAAGCTTTGCAATATAGGTCATTTCCGCTGGAAAATGAAGAAAAAAAGCCATTTTTTCGCTGGGAGAGTATTTTGCGTATAACTGTTTTTAGAAAAAGATAGAGAGCTGGGGTTTTTACCATTGAAATCAGCGTCCAAAACTGCATCTAGCAATTTATGTCACGCCGCTGGAGTAACTGGTCGATGTAATGATGGTAGAAGCCCTGTGGAATAACTCGACTACAGTCAACTGAATATACGATAAATACAGATCAGAGTCCCGCAATACTATTTCATGCTGTCCTGCACGTCGCACACATCGTCATCTTTTCGCTCTGTGAACAAACTGTTCAAGCTATAATTTGCTATTTTTTAGGTTCTTCCAGAAGACTACGAAGTATGGGATAGCGCAGCACGAGACCTTGGTAATTTTGTAAAACATTTCATGGGTGCATACTAAAATGCTTGACAGCTTAGCAAAGTTCTAGCGCATAAGTGTAGTTTTTTTTCGCTTTTCTTATCGTTACTAACCATTGAATCTCATCGAAGAAACAAAGCGGACGAAGTACTCTAACATTTTTTGTAAATGAATCAAGAGGAAAGTAATTAAAATAGAGCTAACTGTATTTCTTCTTAGTGCCAGTCTCTTCGAAATTCTGATTGGGTTTCGATTTTTCAAAAATATTTACCGATGCTAATAGACTTAAACAGAGAGAAACCAGTGGAAATTATATGGTGAATTGTGCACGATTCCAACTTATATCCGTACAGGAAAATAAAAGTAGTGCTCATGTATAGGGGTGTCACACTTACCACTTACCAGGTAAGTGGTAAATGTTTTAATCATCGAAAAATTATCGGTATAGCCGTAATAAATAATTATTTTAATTATTGATTATTTATTCTTGCATAGTAATCTTCACCACTTACCACTTACTAGTTACTGGTAAGTGGTAAGTGGTTTGCATCTAATTGAAGATTTACCGTTCACGACACAAAATTGATGATTCCACCATAAATTTTTCGTAATCTTTTTAGACTAACTAAATTTAGATATGCACTAGTACGGTCTGGCTAGGACTCCATCGCCGATTGAATGACGATCCGATTGGGTTGCATTCCGACTGAGATATGCAACCCGATTGTGTCTAACATGAATGATGATTGGTGTTTATAGAACAGGAATCAGTAGGTATTAGTGCAGAATGATTAAGTTTGAATCCAGTGCCTAATAGGAACTACCGAGGGAACCGTTCAAAATGATTTACCGCTTTTGAGCTCATGTTTTGAGGATATAGAAAAGATCTCCAGACTAGAATAATCCTAGAAGGATTCGGCCCCATGGCCTTCCTGTCTTGAGAAATTGAATTTTCCAGTTCTTAGATAACACAGCGTTTTTGACCATATATCACTGCATTATACCACGAACGAAAACGTATTACAAACTAAAATTTTTCAGATACATTTTTCTGATCATCAGAATATTATCATGAAGTTCACAGACTTTTGCTTCATGCATCTGTCTTACAATAATTTTTTCATAAACCAAAACATCGTGACAAATACATCTGCTTGACGATGAGAAATAGAAAGAAATGGGTATTACACACACTTCACCACGTTCTGTTGTCGCATGTGATAGAGACTGCGTTATGATTATTGTAATAAGCAATAGTATGTTGTGATACACGTGGTTCGTGTGAGTCTTCGTCGTAAGATGCTTTGTTTTTCACTCAATTGTGTAACCAGAAGGATGATTAGTCCTACGAGAAGAGCGAAGCTTTTAATTGATCGGGGGACTGAAAATGAACAACCACACCGTTGACGATCCCAAACAAATACACATGAGGACGATATAAATAGTACATTGTTAAAAGTAATTGACAATGTTTGCAAGTGTGCATCGTTCGAAACCGATTCAGACTTGACCCTTGATTACGATGATGATGAAGAATTTAGTGACTTTGAAAATGAAAGTACTGCTTCTGAAAATGAAAATCTTGATCCTACCTTTGATGAGACTGCGAAAGCCGAAAAGCCTCTGATTAAACTGAACTTCAGTCTCGACTATATGGAAACAGTTATTGATTATTACGATGAGCGTGATTCGAAAGGCAGGACAAAACACAGGTGACAGTCGACAGAGCATCGGTTCAAATCCTTTACTCACTGACAATATCTTGCCCGCTGTCGTCATTATATTGAGCAAGGTGGCAAAAACGAGCGAAGATACAAATTATCGATGATTTTGTTTATGATAAGTTTGAAGAAGCTCGAGACACTCTTCTCTCTGTACACGATCGGGATCTGAAA